GTCCGCTTTAATGTATAACAGAATGAGATAAGCTAAATACGAGAACAGATGTTTGGAGACGTATATTTTGTACACTTCGTGATTTGGATAGACAATCATAGGAACGAAGCAAAATGATGCGCAGTGGAGAAGACGTGTGAGCCAACTCGATTTAATCAAGAGTTATTCAATATTTATATTCATACAAAAATAAGCTACAGACATGTGATGAGTAGGATAAGATGTACACACACATATGCTCATATAAAAACAATCAAGGTTGATAAGTGAATAATTACCAAGCTCAAAATGTGACTCGAGAAGAATGAATAAAATAGCCTGTCCAGAAGCTAGAATACGTTATGTGGGCTTAACATAGTAACTGACACTACATGTTAAAGAAATCATCATGTAGATTTCTATTTTAAACGCTGAAACAATAAAAGAATATTTATTTAATTTGGAGTTGTTTAGATCTTACATAACTTCCTGTTATCAATCCAAGTGATATAGGGTTTATACTTTCTCATGATAAAACTTGAAATTTCATAAAGATCAGTATGAAAAGTCAGGACATTAGACTTGTTAACAGAGTGTATTATGTTGTTATTATTATAAATACCTACTAATCCTACATAAACCAATCAAATAGGTTAGTAGCACGGCATTTTTTTCAAGTGCATTAAGAAAGCCACTTACTCATGAAAAATAAAACCAAAAATATGATGCATTTTAATTGCACTAACTGTTTATATTAAATTCTTTTTTAAAATAAATAATCTAAGATGTTTTTAAGATGGTGGCTAGAGGTAATCAACAGGAAACTCTGGATCCAGGTTTCGTGTTATTTGGCGCTCGTCAGCAAGATGTACCTGTGATGTTGAGGGAACTAATGCTCCCTGACGGGTTTCTTCTCATTCCAGTGATCGATTATAGGTTTACGTGTATGACTTACCAACTATAGGATAAATATTTTCATCTAACTGCACTAATCAATATAAAATGAAAGCTAAACTTGTGACTTGTTGAAAGAAACTACTTAATTAAGGCTGTTTTAAGTTAATCAGTTTTATAAATGAAATATAAAAGATGAAAAACTGTTCACATCATTTCCAGGAAATGTTTACTTGTTATATCCCTACTACCTGTTAACAAACTCTTAATTATGAAAATAGTTTTCAGTCAGTCATTGATCGTTGTTTCTTCATTCAATTCAAAATATTGAAAAACACTTAATATAGAAATGTCTGAATCTGAATATGGAATTAACGATGATTTGTAGAAACCTATTTAGAAAACATTCCCAGTTATTTGGTGGTATGTTATGTCCTTTACTTTAATTAAATACTATCAGTTTGACGTAGTTCCTTGCTTTCACCTAATTCGCCTACTGGCTTACATTGAAACTAATTCTAGAAACTGAAACCAGCTAGATAAACATCAAAACAAGAAGGCGCAGGACAAATATTTCACCCTAATTTCAGATAATCTAGCAATGATAAGAACAAACGTCAAATTAGAAAACCTCGATAAATCATCTTATCTGAATAATGACCAAGCTTTGAGGTCAATTGTTGAGTTCTTGATAAAAATTCATAATTGGTGAGATACAATCATCATAGTTTCCGCCGATAATTTTAATGGTCAGTATTAGAAAATGTCTAAATTTAAAAATGTAAATGAATGTAATTTAAATGAATGCTTCACAGATTTTGTGCCTTCCCCCAACACCTGAACTTTTTTGAGCCTAGTCTCTATTAAGGAAATGTTAACGCACTACTCATATTTTTCTAGTTACTGAAAATATATTACAAACTAAGCAATTTTTTATAAACATTATTTAGTTATATCCATTCGTACATTCATTATATGGTTTACAATTTACCAGTTGACTGTACTGATAATCTGCTATGGTTTTACATTTAATGCATTCACACTGTATATATTTAAATATTGAACATATTGAATTGATATTTAAACAAGTTGTCTGAAAAGGTAAATTATTCAACTTGAGACAACAGTTTATGAAATTTATCCTATTTTCCCAGTATAAATTGGAAGAGCATTAAAAAAAGCTTATTATTACATTAATAAGTGATAATAAAAAGTGTTAAATCATTCGATATATTTAATGATATAAAGCTCACTGTTCTATTGATGATACCTTTCAAGTTATCAGTTCAAAGATAATTTTCATTGAAACTATATATAAATTTGATGAAAGAATACCTAAAATGCCATTAGTAGACTTCCTAAGACAAGAAATAAATAATAGTCGAACAATTGAAATGACATGGAGATTTCTTTTCAGTTCCATTTACGGTCAAGTAGTGTTATTAGGTCGTAAATATTCTAATGTTTAAGGAGCATATTTTTGATTCTCTTCATCATCGTCATCATTTTTATTATCATAATCATCAACATAAGTCTAAAAACAAATTCAACAACTAAGGATGAATTCATGAAATATTATGGCTATTTCTCTTAGTTATTTTTTAAGATTTGTCAAGCACTTATATAGTCGCTTACGGTCAATTATTGTTAGGACCAACTCCAGAAACACTGAAGCTGACATAAGTATATCAATTAGAACAATATTAAACAATAATTTAAAACAGTGACAACGTTTATTGATAATGATATATAGCAGGAATACTGAATACTGCTTTTGAACTTAGAAACAAACTAGTGGCATGTTTAGAGAAGAAAAATGTGTCTTCTTATTTATCAGAGATTTAAACAAAAAGTAAACCACGAAAACCTCTGAAAGTTTTTATCAACAGAACATTTGTTCTTCTCATTATTCAAATAACCTAATTGACTGGAAAGGAGAAATTAACTCTTGTGCCAATACAAGTCATTAAAACTCCTCAGTTTTCTTAAGTTAATAAGGTTGCCTTAATTGTCTTTCTTAGACATAAAAATAAGTCACATCTTAAGTTATTTGATTCATTATATCTAGTACTCACATTTGTAAATAAAGACGATGAAGAATTTTTTTATAGTTTACCAATATTTTGAACATCAAATAACATTTAGAGGTAAACTCACTAAGTAATGAATTTATTAAACTTGATATTCGGTTGTCAAATGCGTAATTAGTTAATAATAAGTACACATCTTGGAAAGCAGCACAATCTAGTCAAGAAAGCTTCCAAAGATCAAACCATCAAAAGTTACGTTTATTCAGTACCATTACATCAAATGGATCTTTATAACTGTTTGACTATATTATTTGACTCAGATCACTAATTTTACGACATGAAGTAGTATAAGTTAGTTTATGAAATTCAGCAATCTCAAATGGCTAATACTGATAACAATGTTGTTTAAGATATTGCAGATTTCCCTAAACATATTTTGCCTACAGATCCAGTATTATGAGACCTCACTCACTTACTTATGCCTGTTACTCCTAATGGAGCATAGGCTGCCGACCAACATTCTCCAACCCAGTCTGTCCTGGGCCTTTCTTTCCAGTTTTGTTCAATTTTCTTATGTCTGTCTCCATTTCTCGACGTAATGTGTTCTTTGGTCTTCCTCTTCTCCTTTGGCCTTGAGGGTTCCATGTGAGGGCCTGTCTTGTGACGCAGTTCGGTGCTTTCCTCAATGTGTGTCCTATCCACTTCAGCGCTTCTTTCTGATTTCTTCGTCTGCTGAGATCTGGTTTGTTATCTCCCACAGTAGGTTGTTGTTGATAGTGTCCGGCCAAAGGATCGGAAGTATTTTGCGTAGACAATTGTTAATAAACACTTGTATCTTATGAATGACGGCTTACGTAGTTCTCCAGGTTTCCGCCTCATACAGTAGAACTTTGTTGACATTTGTTTTGAAAATTTTGAAATTGGTTTTGGTTGACAGTTATTTTGGGTCCCAGATGTTCTTCACTTGTAAATATGCCGCTCTTGCTTTGCCGATCCGTGCCTTCATATCTGCATCAGACCTGCCGTATTCACCAATCATGCTGCCCAGATATGTAAAGGTTTTCACATCTTCCAAATCTTCTCCGTCAAATGTAATCTGATTAGTGCATGCTTGCTTTTCCCTTTGTGTATGTTGAGACCTACTGCTGCAGCTACTGCTACACTGGTTGTCTCCTGCATTTTTTGTTGCGTGTGCGATAGAAGAGCCAGATCATCTGCAAAGTCTAGATCATCCAGCTGCATTCTAGCTGGCCACTGTATCCCATTCTTCCCCTTAGATTTTGACGTCTTCATGATCCGGTCGATCACCAGGAGGAAGAGAAAGGGTTAGAGTAAGCAGCCTTGCCGAACGCCGGTATTTACCTCGGATGAGTCTGATTATGAGACCTAATATTATATATTTTTTAATGCTACTATATGACCAACGACGTAGTAGCTTGAATTTATAACCTGAATTCGAACAGAATTAACTACTAAAAAAGCTATCCGAAAATCATCAGCTAGGTTATAATATCAAAAATCTTCAAGTGGTCAAGCTTAACGACTTTAATTTTATTGCTTTTCGTCCTGTGAGTTAAATGAAAGTAAAACTTATGATACTGAATTAATTAACTAGTAGCTCTACAACGTTTCTGTTCACGCAAGACACATTATCGATCTTATGGAAACTGATAGATTAACTGCTAACTAAATGCAAATAATTGACTATAAGTTATTAACGATGAAAATCTAATAAAAATTTTTGGAGTTTATCGAACCCAATACGTTAGGTGAATAAGCTAGCATAATTAAGAGCCCATTTGATATTTTAATTGTGGAGTTTAGCTGGATTTAATAATGTTTTACTAACTAAGAAACCTAAGAATATTTATCCTCACGTATCCTCATGAAGCCAGTATTTTATACTGGCAAAAAATAAACTCCCCAACCCTAATGACAATAACAAAGTGTTCGATACAATTATGTGAATCTTTATCCGGACGATCAAGACATGTCTTATGGATTGAATAGAATTCATTACATTTTAACATCGTTTGGAATTTACAAAACAAACTCATCTAAAAAAACGTTTATTTCGACACAGTATTCTATATTACATCATGAAAATTCCCCGCATCCAAAAACATGATAAAAAATTATTACGTTTCTCTTGAAAGGATCCACGATTGCATAAGCGAACGTATTTAAATGTTCTTTACGTGAGGGAAACACCATGTTATTTTGTTCATCCTTTAAAGAGATGCAAATAACATGTGGGAACAAGCAAAATGTTAGTAAACAACGGAAATAATGCTATTAAAAAGGCTACTAGTTTCATGCATATCAGTGAATAATATATGTACTTAAGTAAAAAAATTAATCAAGCTAATAAGTTTCTGATTGATTATTCATGATTTCAGACTAAGTCTAGACATATAGCCTACAGTATATCATCTTTTCTAAGCTTCGAAAATATTTGGGACTGAACAAAGAATTTCAATTAACAATCACCACACATATTTAGTAAACTAATCGGATTACTTTTCGTCACATACATTGTATTTACCAAAGATAATACTTTGTTCTTAAAAACGTTAGACCTTAAGCAACCGTATTTGTTTCAGGTAATAACTAGACAGTAAACATATCAAACAAAACGTGACAAAAAAAGATATTCACACAAAATTGTAAAGTAAATCAAAACATACAAACTAAACAGACAAGACTGATAGATATAAATCCAAAAAGCACCAACAGGTATTTGTGGATCTATACTACCATCTTTTGCGTTCCTAATTACCAAAGGAGGGTCAAATGCTCGAGTTACTGCACAGCATAAAATAATTGCCCCAAACACCCAGAATATTTAAACATGGATTCAACGAAAATGATTGCAGTTTACTCCTCACGTAAAGTTATAAATTCAAAATAACTTCAAATAAAAGAAATGGTACAAATCCCCTTCCTGTATGTTTTGAGTTACAGGCACTCTTAACTGCGTTTAGAGGCTTCTAGTGACTAGGTTCTTCATATACAACTTCTCTCATTATTTTATAAAATTATAGAAAAGTATATAATCATGCTCAATCCGTAAATTAAAAAATAATGATAAAAAAGTTTTCTTCAGTTTCAGAAATTTGTGCAATTTTTGTCATACTACTTCAGGCATCTGCATAGCCAGAAAAATAATAGTTAGTTACAAACTTTACGAATGATCACCTAATTATTACTTAATTGTAATCACGTCAGTGTACCGTTGATGTTCAGTCCCCACTTATTGTATAAATTTGAAACAGTGGGCTTAAACTAAAAACAAGGCCTGTAATGAAATTTTGTATGATATTAAAGATGTCACAGGTATTTTTAGTCTGACAGCACTTTGTCCAGTAACACCTTCTATAATTGGATCGTGCCCATCCAGTGAAGTCAAACGTCAGAAGCGAGGAGGTTCAAAAATATGACCGATCTAAACTGGCTAGTGGTCGTAGGAGAAGTTGAGTACGGCGTTCACACTCGTGATCTGGTGCGGATGCGTGATCGAGCGCCTTTAGCTAGGTGAGTTCATTAAAACTAATGTAGTCAGCATCAAATGTCAAAAACTTACAAAGCCATTGCTTTTGGGGATTTATTTACCGCTACAACATTTAAGTCCCAACGTAACTATAAAGAACTAACGCAGAAACGTTTGGTAGATAAAATGATATGTTGAAAACGGCATGCGAGTCATCTACAAATTATATATGACGCGTTTACCATGTAGTTTTAAGTTGCATATCTATTGCATCAATTTGTTATGCGCAAAGTCTATACGATCGAGACTTACGAGTTTAAAACTAAGCAATCGTTGTGATCAATTATTATAGAGGTTGGGTGATGTGTAGAGAAATCAATCAGTGTGGTACAGTTGTATTAAGGACCTAATTTTTTTCTAAACTCTTAGGTTAATTAGCACTTTAACTGTTCATTCTTAGACCTTGTTATATCCTCTTAAACTAGATCCCCGACGCTACAATATTTGTTGTGGTTAAAAGTAAAACCATCTTTTCCTCATTTCATAAAATTTATATGTTGATATGCAGTTTGACAGTCTGAACAAAGATAATATTCGTCTCACGTCCTACTGGCTGACAGACTATATATGCACACTTGATCGTAATGGTTTAAAGTTAGGTTGAAGAATTTATTGCAGGTCAAAATTATCGTGAAGACAAAAGCCCGCATTTGTAAATACCATCAGTTCATCCTCTTAATATATGATATGGTGAGTAGTGACAGGTTACACAGTCACTCACGAATTTCATAGATACAAGAGTCTGGGCAAATGTAAACTTAATTTCACACAACACCATCCTGATTTGCTCAAATAAAAAGTACCCAAGAATACAGTATTACTCACTCATAAATTTACGGAAATACACATACGAAGAGGACCAACACTTACATAAATGTGTTGAAACCGTTTTACACTGTTTTTTTAAAGTCATGTTGTTAATGATGTAAAAGGAACCTAACCAACGTGCTATAACAATGAATTAAGCGCTCAAAGGTATATTTTTCAAAATTAAGCCTGGTAATTCACTTACATACACACGAACTTCGTAAACATGGGAAACAATTTCGATTGCTTTTGAATCAGGATTCTTCTGAACACTGAAACCATAGCATTACAATAGCATAGCAATATACCATATTAAATCACGATATATTTTGCGTACAGTATCAATGTATGGCTTAATCTCATCTTCTTGTTGACATATTTCACCTCCAATACAAATGTGTCTGAACAGGCGAACGAGGAACTCTTCTCTCTCTTTTTCAGTAAGAATAGAATAACTGTCTGAATCTTCAAGTAACAAACACTGTAGGTCGATAAAAACGAATGGTACTTGCCTCTCTTAATTTATCGGAAATAAGGATTGTTTCGAAAACATCGTCCAGACGTGTTTTAATTCTTCCGCACTCATGTGTCACACTTGAAAGTTTACGAAAGACATCCAGGTTGGTGAGCGTACATCTTACGCTGTTAATTTTGACAATACTAGTCAAAATATCAGTGTATTTATCATGAAGAATTAATGGGTCATATGAAACTACTTACGTTTTAGTGTGGGGAATAGTGAGAGCATTTTGCACAGAAGGCGAATTGAAAAACCGCTAAGTAATTTTTTCATGAAACTAACTTATTATTTACGTACTGTGAAAAATGAATCTGCTTTATATGGTACAAACATATGGTCAAAAGTGAATGTAACAACACTCAACCTGCCTTTCATAGACCTAAAATAAACGTTTACCAATGTGATAAGTTACCATTTGATAAAGTAGTCATTCACATGCTTATCGGATAAAAACGGATATTCCCTTCCAAGTATAATGAGGAAATCTTCATTAGCTTGCTCCATTGACAACAGATATCTATATTTCTGCCAAGTAAGCAATATAGTAGTTAACTAGTTTAAACAAATCACTCAAATAACCATAGGCTAAATGGAATAAACCTTTGCTTAAAGAGCTTCCGTTTTTAGTTGCAATTGATAATCAGTGATGTTAAGTGAGAGATTATGTGCATGAGACAAGGAAAACATGTAAAGCTTTATTAGTCAATTAGTATGATATACTGTTTTCAGTCCTTAGGAATTTACCACGTTTCCTCTAAAAGAACAACAATGAGGTTGCTTGAATCATTTATGACGTTCAGAAATATCAAGTTTTAACTGCCAGTAAGAAGTATAAAACTTGTGTACATTCCGTTTTCCTGTGTTGTATCTCTCATTTTCATGTACTTCCACAAAGTTCTAGTTCAAGGTTGAAGGTAAATACGTTTCTATCTGAGTCGACATCACAGATTATCAAGGCTCCTAAGAATTTTAAGGTTACTGACAACCCCAGAAAAAAACCAATAATGTTGTATGTTTAGTTAGCAATATGCCTCGAATGGACTAATCTGCGTTGAGGGCAAAACCATTGTAATCTAGACAAATTTGAAGTTGAACCACATTTCAGATCACATGTTAGACTCCAAACTACTATATGTGGCTGAGAACCATCAGCAAAGGTTAATAATTCAGATGTTTGTTGACAACTATCATTTGAATAAATGAAGAAGAAAATTCCCAATGTAGTATCCTATGGGACCCCATCATTACATTTCACCACGTAGGAAAATGAGAATTTTAAACTTAAGTATTCAAAAATGGTGAACCGAGTGTGATGATTGGAAGTATTTAAATTATTACACGTACTGAAGATTCCCGAAATAACACAATTAAGGCCAAACAACCAGGTGAGAGCAAAAAAACATGCTGTATTTGGAATTCAAAATCAGGCCGTCATCAAGTGCTAACGACTCGTTAATTCATACAAACAACACAGCTAAATCAATTTGTATGTGGTAGCTTTATTTACGTCGGCTTGATATTACTGGGAAAGCAATTATAACTAACCTTATCGATAGCTTTTGTCCAATTATATTGTGGTGTGTGCTTCTGATGTCGATATATACCTGTCTGCCCAAGGGTAAAAAGATCAAAGAGAAAAGAAGGAAAACAGAGAATGATTTCTGTGGAAACGAAGGAACAATGACGTCTGAGACAACTGACTGATACCTTTCAAATGCAAATTTTTTGTACGGTTCTCAGATTCTACTGAGATACCCTGTAATTTTGTGTTCAAATATATTCCGCCGTCCCCACTTATGTTCTTGTTCACTACAATAGTATGCTTCGTACACTGATCCAGAAATATCCAGAGTGATGTTTCATATATCCATTTCTTTATATCTCTTATTCAAGAGTGGTTCGTAATGACTGTTTCGTCGGGGAAAGGAATTTGAGATGTTAAAGTAGAAACTCATTGTCCTTTGGTGACTAATAAGTGTTGATGTAAATATCATTATTTCCACTGTGTTCGGTTATATTTGTTTAACTTAATCCTGTAACTTGAACACTGACTCACATTGTTTTGGCAAGAAATATCGAACATTTTGCTCCGAAAACCTTAAAAGTGAGGGTTTAATAACTATTATTAAAAGAACGATATACTTTTGTTGATTACTCGCAATTTAACAATAATTTTCTTATACCTGCATTAAAATTTTGTTTTCCTCTCACTCGTGTCGTCACTTACTAGTACACCAATCGACAGTGCCTGAAGAACGAATCAGAGCAGAATGTATACTTGGTGAATTTCCTTCTTCTCGAGAAAAATACACAGGAGCCGACTGCTACTTTCGACTAGTTTTACAGTGTGAACACAATAGTTTATCAAAACATTTGTGTTTTTAATCACTATGATACGTAGCAATGTTAAGAGCAACATACACACGCTCTTTAGTCATTAATCCAAATCCAATAACAATTTGGCTTACATATCATGAGCTTTGATATGTCCTGTTATAATATAAATATGTCTTCCTGCTTGATCATCTTCGAGTTTGAAGTCTGAAAATACTTCTCGAGAAGGAATGTGAATGACATCATTGAATTCTGGATACTCAGAATCTCGTCAAGTGGATAGAATTCGAATTCAACAATAAGGGATAGATATGTGGCGATAAACAAATCTCCATATTAGATACCTACATAACTCTTCAATATTTGGCCTGACCTCATCAGCTTAACAAGGCACACGTTAGCTGAAGACGCTCGGTCACGCAACACTACCGGGTCACGACTGAGTGAAGCATGCTACTTATCCTCTACAACAAGTAAGGGACTCAAATCTAACAATTTTCAGCATTCCTAACGAATATATCTTCGAATTTCATTCACGACTTTTAGGTTGACTGTGCTTTCTATCTGCGAGTATGAAACTGTCACGGACATAAGCTTCATCAGTCCCTGAATATCTGTGAAATCTCCAGAAACAAGACTGGTCTAAAGTATTGGTACTATTGGATAAACTCCATAACCTGATCTCATGCAGCGTCAAAATTCTTCGTCGCACTGGCTGTAGAATACCTAACAACCGTATCACAAAAGAAATAAATATGGTTCTAGTATTATTAAAAATTGTGAGAGAGCTGAAGCGATAAGTGAATGTATTAAAATGCAGTCAATTTAAAACTACTATCAACATCCATGTGTACGGCCGGCGGTCATCGATACTATTATTTATTACCAAGATTGATTCATTATATTCGAATACGGCTGTCAGTGCTTGTTTACAAGAACTGATGTGGATAATTGTCAGAGTGTGTAGTGAATGAAAGATTTTGATGTAATTTTAACCATTACGTACGATGCTTAGCACTTCTGAAGATGACATTTGGGCTGCGGATATAATAGTTTTTTGGTGTAATTAGGGATGAATTTCACAGAATGGCCGTACCTACAAGGTCGAGTAGTACCATTCAGCCTTCACCACAGACCTTCATTCCGTGTCAGATGTCGAATGTGAATTTTCTCAGTTTTCTTGTGTTAAGTTTCGAGTATCGTGTGGTCAGAACCAATACTACTACGAATTCTTCAGATGATGAGCAGTCCATGAATTGATTAGAGAGAAAACCATCAGTTTTTGGCGTCATGACAGTTCACAGTAGCCTGCAGTGTGAATAAGGCAAAGACAGAAGTCGACAGCACTTTTGTCCAAAATCACTTCGTTCGCCATGGTCCCAAAGCGACTAAGACCAAGAGCCGAGTGTGAAGAAAACACCCTCATCTGATAGTAGGTAGCCAAAACCATAAGGCCAGCGTCAGCATCAAAGACTCATATAACTAATTATATATGCCATCGGTTCACTACTACATATTTATTAGAATATAAACGGAAGGAATACTCTAATGAATTAGCTGTGAACTGAATGGATATTCTTGCCTTCCTGAAGGCTTGAGAAGAGTGAACTAAAACGAGTTTCATCAATCACTCTGTAGTGTAAAGTAACTCTATGCATCAATATTTTTACAAACACTTGATAACAGAGCTAAAATTTCTAGTTTTTTATGGTACCTGGTAAACAATCGCAACCAGATTACTGTATGACAAGCCCCACAACACTGACAAAACTCTGAAAAGATAGCTTACAACAATAATGCTCCTCTACTTCAATTCATAGTCACATATACTTTATCTTTCTAACCTATATCATTTCGAATGTCTGCTCCTGGAGTAACACTGGTTCAAACATTGATGTAAACAACCCTACTATTTTTTTCATGTTATTAATTATTGAATAATCAAAATATTGAATGCTGGGAAGAAGTGATCAGTACATTGAATCGAATATGGGATGACTACAACCGATACTAGAACTGCTTCAAATGTTGAAATATGTAAAAGATAGTTGAGTTCATTTCCATTGGGTAAGATTAGCAAGTTCTCTCAAGAGTCAGTCACAACATAAGTTCGGTGCTTGAGAATCGGCTGTAAACATCTTGGCAATGTCAAAACCATATAGATCAGGTACTCATCCAATTCCTTATTTCGTGCAAACATTATATTTTTTATTATCCCACAATGAACGTTAAAATCTTCGTTTGTTTGAAGATATAACCTCGTGCTCCAACCGTTCTCTACCAGAATCTGAATAAAAAACCACTACGGTCTACTTCTTTCATGTTAGAAAACGAGCGGTAAATGCTATCATTAAAATTACTTGTTGAGCTATAAAATAACACCGAAACGTGTTACATACAACTCCATTTCATCAAATTATGTCTCAGTTGAAGAAATGATTTGCTCTAAGAAGCCGCTTTCAGATATCATAAACTGAAAAAGAAGAAGAATCTTAAAACACATCATTAGAACTGATATCCTATATATTGTAGCGGTAAATAAATCCCTAAAATAAATAGCTCCAAGTTTTCGACACTGGATGCTGACCATATGTTTTAGTGGACTCATCTAGCTGAAAGCGCTCGGTCAGGCATCTGCACCAGATCACGTGTGGTAACGCCGTGCTCAACATCAACCGCAATCGCTAGCCAGATTAGATCAGAGAATTCCGATATATTGGTCATCGCCAAATATACTCCTCCGATCTCCTCGACTCTGTCTTTTGATTTCTCTGGGTGGGAACGAAATATATTAGGTGTTACTGGTAGAAGCGTTGTCAAACACTGAATACCTGTGACATCATGACTGGTGAGACCGACGTGATCTGGTACACCCAATTGCAACTGTGAGTCTGTTCCCTTTTGGGATTTTTATATATCATTGCCTTATTTTTTATTTTTTTTTAAACATTGTGATTTTTTTTCGTGTTTTTTTCTGGGATATATATATATTTTTTCCCCTCGTTCATTATCGTACTTCATACTTCATTATGACTGAACAGACACCTAAAGTACTCAAGCTTAAGACTTTGTCCCAGCCTTCGTTTCAACTGATGCCTTTCTGGCCCGACAACATCGAAGCCTGGTTTTGCTACGCAGAAGCCCACTTCCACGAGCACGGCGTGATCGAC